CATTTTTATTTTTATAATTTACATTTGTGGGTTTTAAAGCTCTGTGTGTGTGTGTGTAATGTGCCGGTGTGACGCCTGGCAATAAACAGGCCCATCGAGGACTGTCGTGTGGTTCTGGGGCGGGGCTGGGTACAGTGAAGTGTAGTGACTGTGTGTTTTGTGGGTGAACGCCACAGACAATTTGCACACAGCGACGTCCCCACCCCACAAACGGCCATGAAGTGAGCAACCAATTTCCCTTCCTCCTACTCCAGGACTCACCTCCTTCATTCTTCCCTCCTACTCTACAGCACTGCCTTTAAACCTCACCGCCATTCATTCTCTGACTTACCTTCTCTGCGACACTCAGTTCATGTGAAGTCTTGCACACGACCTCTCAGCCGGACCTCTGCTCCTGATCGATTTTTATTCCAGAAAAGCCCATCTCAGCAACTTTCCAGCCCTCCCCACTCTCCCCCCTCCCACACACACACACACACACACACACACACACGCGGTGCAGAGGTTGGAAAGAGGTGGAAAGGAAAGTGAATTATCTGAGACGGTGCTCGTTGTGTGAGGGGAAAGAACACATAAATCATCAAAGGACGAAACATGGATCATTAATAAAACAGGCAGTTCATGCAAATCAGTCAATACAGAGAAGGCATCACTCCCGCTCTCTCTCGCTGGCTCTGATTCATGACACACTGGGGGCAGATTGAACGATGTTCTTTGATGTGAAAAGCAATCAACTCATCTGCCCGAGGCATACATCAAAAGCCTCATTCCTCTTTTCCCTCCCTCCCTCCCCGCTCACCTTCTCCTCCGCCCCCGAGGAATCTCACGGTGACCTTGGCTTTTGTTCCCATCATCTTCCTGAGAGAGAGCGAGCGAGAGAGAGAGAGCTGGGAGTGACCAGGACTTCAATAATAATAATTAATAGTAATCCTGGCATTTACTCCAGCGCTCGAGACATCTCGCTTCACTGGTAACCAGCCCGCTCAGCCGCTCGCGCTCTCGCCTCCGAATCAGTTGTGGGTTTGAGCCCCCAAACCCCGCTAACCCCCCCCCCACCTCAGTCCAGGCTGACACTCAAAGCGCTTCACAGAATATTCTGTAAAGTGTAGTGACTGTGTAGGTTGAGGGCGAAACGCAACAGCCAATTGCGCACAGCAGCGTCCCCGCAAGCAGTCGTGGATTGAGTGGACAGATTTTTTTACAAAGGGATTATTACCCCCGGAGGGTGATCCACCAATCGACTAACGACGGGATTCCTACTCATTGCCGGGTAAACAGGCGAGTGGAGTAAGGAAACTTACCTCAGGTTTCGACCTGCCCGGGAAGCAAATCCAATTTGGATCCTCTCGCTTGCCAGGCGAGTGCCCACCCACTGCGCTACAGGACTCTGTAGCTCCTGTTAATGGTCAGAGACAGCCTCGCTCTTTTAGAAGAAAATTATTAATTTTATTTTATCAATTCCACGGGGCTGATTTGGGCAAATTCTCCGAGCTGCCTATTAGACACCAGTGATGTGTTACAGAATGGAACAAGCTTCCCACAATCTTGCTAAAAACTCCCTGCGGATATCTCTCTCTCTCTCTCTCGTTCTCAGCCTCTCACCTGATCGTGCTGCAAGCTTCCCATTGATCTGAGAGCAAGAGAGATTAGCAGACATCGCTGTGCTCAGCTTGATTCTCATCGCAGTCTCAACGTGAAGCTTTTCTCAATTTTGTTTGGATTTTGTCAGAGAAGGCTGAATTCTCTCTCTCTCTCTCTCTCTCTCTCTCTCTCTCCCCTCAATCAATCTCTGTCTCTGGGATTTCCACGTGTAAGTGGGAAGCACGGAATTCTCAGCTTGGTTTGGAGACTCTTAAGTACTTAAGCGATGGGTGTCCACACGTCAGATACCCGTTTGGCCACCAAAAATCCCTCTTTCGCCTCAACGCATCTCTTCCTCAAACGCCTACCCAATCCATGCTTGACTTTGCGGACGCAATCTGCTTCACCCTGCACCCCCCCCATCCCCAAACGGTATAAACACAAAGCCATTCATTCCGAGACATTCATTTTTTTAAGTCAAAATGAGCGAATGAAGTGAAATCAGACTCTTTTTGTCAGATCAGATTATAAATTTATTCTGCGAATGTTCACATACAGTTATATATCAGACTCTGCATGTGTCCAGTTCTACATCTAACACAGAGCATGAGACCATGGCCGCCACTGGGGGTGCGGGGGGGCGGTGGGGGGTATGGGCTGGAGAGGGCTGTCAGCGTCCATCACTGCCCACTGTCCCCCTCTATACCTCCCACCTACTCCTGCCAACCTCTGTCTGTACCTTACCCCTCTGTGCACAGGCCTCAAACACAGGACTGCAGGAGGTCTCTCTCCCTCTTACTGTCAGTCCATCACAGTGACAAATAGGACAACGTACAGAGAGGGGAGTAAGGGAGAGAAAAAGTGAAGGAAAAAGAGAGTGTGAAAGAGGGAAGGGGGAATGCGGAGAGAAAGAGCGAGGGAGAGTAAATTAAAGAGTGAAGTAGGGATGCAGAGTGAAGGGAGAGAGAGAGGGGGGAGAGTGTGAGAGTGAATGAAAGGAAAGAGTGGGAGAGGGACGGAGAGAATGAGGGATAGAGAACCCGAGGGCATAGTTTAGCTGTGGTGATGGGTGGGGGGGTTACGGGTCAGCCCCCAGTGTGTGCTGTGCTAAAGTGCGTTGTGGGGGAAGCCCCTCTTGTGCTCAGTTCTGTTTGGGGACGTGTGGAAGACAATGTGATGCTGCCCCACGTGAGGGGCGCGAAATGAATGCAAGTTGTTGTTGATGTCACTGCGGCTGACAGGATGGTGCTGGAGTGAGGTACAGAGCAGGTAAATACAGGTGATCGCGATGCTAGAATGATTTGCTTCTAATGTGATGCTCAGGAGAGGCCCGTCATGGGCTCTGTCTGTCTTGCTCCCCTCCAAACCTCCACAGCATTCCCTCCATATAAACCTCCCATTGCCAGGAATGTTCCTCAGGGAAACTCATCCCAGTTCCTTGTTCCACCCCTGAGGCTGGTCTGTCCAGTCCCTCTGTACTGTACAGTATAATCATCCTCCTGTGGCTCCCTTCACTGTCCCTCTCCATGTTGGCAAGCTTTGGCTTAGGTGAATACATGTGTTTAAAAGCTACGTGCTAGACCGCGGCAAAGGGGGTGGGGGAGATGGGAATGGTGGGAATGGGACTTGGGAATGGGATGGTAGGGATGGGACTTGGGAGGAAGTGGCTTTGCCTCGAGCTGTCACTCACACCGGTGACCAGTTTGCTAGTTTGGGGTAATAAAAAGTCCCGTTTCCCCGCTGGGAGCTCTGTCTCCTTGCTCCACACCCGTGTGGGGGCTGCGGGCGGAAGGACACGCTTTCCTCAGGATCGCCCTCGCGGTTGGAGAACAGTCAGATTGCCCTCAGGGCAACCAGGCCAGGCCAAGCTTGACCAGGCCAGGCTAAACGTGTTTGGCCAGTGGCAGCCAAACAGGTCTGGCGGCTATTTTTTGAGGCCCAGCAAACCAATTCTGCCATTTTATCAGTTCCAGACAGATTGGTTGTGTGACTTTTCCACATACATCTCACCCCCCCCCAACACACACACACACACACACTCACACACACACACTCACTCACTCACACTCCCCCCAACCCCCCTGCTCTCACACTCACATAAATCCACGGCGCATTTTCTTTATAAATCTGGTTGGGTTAATTAAAAGTTCTGGAGGCTCACAAACAAAATGGAAGATCAGGTGAAAATACCAAACACTCCACTGCTTCAAAACAAACACACAGTGCGAAGAGATTGAAAAAGCCTGAGAGGAATGTGAGGGTTATTCAGTTGCCTTCACCTTTCTCTTTAATCTGATTTAACACAAATTAGGCTTGGTAACCTTGACAACCGCCATCTCAGGGTGAGGCCGACACAAACACAGTGAAACCTGTGGGCCTGTGACTTTGATCCCAGGCGAGGGCAATAAAAAGTCCGTGCTGCTACACTAACTTTGAGATAAAACAAGTCGCTGTTAAATTCTGGCTACAACAGACGTCTGAATTATATTTAAACCATTAGCCGTCACCTTCAAAGCCATCCACGGCCTTGCTTCCCCTACCTCTGTGACTTACTAACTCCGTATTGACCTGTCCGCTCCCTCCGCTCAGCGGGCTCCAGCCTGCTCCATGTTCCCCGGTCGGGCCTTCAGCCTCTCTGCCCGCACCCTCTGGAACTCCATCCCGGACCTTCTCAAACCCCTCCTCTTTGACCGTGCCTTCGGTCACTCTCCTATCCCCGCCCTCCACCCCTCCTGATCCCAACCCCCAGCTCAGATCCGAATCCCTGACTGTCCAGCACCTTGGGATGTAGGTGCACACATACACCAGGTCTAACCAGAACAGCCGGGCCTAACACAGCTCTGAGCCCTGTCGACCCTCAGAGATAGAGGTGAAGGGCTGCTGGGGTTTAGTGGGTTTGCTCGGTTAGATAACGTAGGCTGTAAGCACCGACCTGCAGGAACATAATGGGACTTTACCCCAACAGGTTTGGTGGGAGTTGTGCTGATGTAAGACAATACTCTTCACTGGGCCCTATGATGAGCCTGAACTCGATGTGAAGGTGTGGGAGCTGGACGGACACAGATAAACACAATAATGTGACACTCACTGAACTGAAATCTCTATAAAAAGAAATGGAATCCAGGTCTGCTCGCTCGCTCCGGGGATTGTAAAGTCTTGCGGAGTGAAGTCTGGGCCTTGCGCAGAGATGGTTACCACGGTAACCGTGTCAGGTCCTCGGTCTGAGGTGTGACCGGAACAGCGTGAGAGACTTTGGCTTGAGCGATTGACGTCGAGAGGTGTGCCGGTGATGGGAGGGGGGTGTGGGGGGACAGGGGTGTGGGGGAGGGCAGTTCCAGGGAGCTCTCCGCAGACTGGAGATCGCTGGTGGGTGGTGGGGATGGTGGGAGAAAGGGAGAAGCCTGCCCAGCTGGCCACAGTCAACAGGCAAAGTCCTCGAAGGGCGGCCTGTGGTGGTATGGCAGCAGGTTGGTGGCGTAGGGGCTCCCGTCAGATAGGCTGCTCAGTGCCTCGCGGGAACTCTGTGGGCACAAGACACGGGACAAGGCGTCAGGTGATGATTAACACACATTTGCCATTGGCTTTGTAAAGCACCAGGAGGAAAAAATAAAGACTTATAAACATTTGCTAGACAAAGGAAGACCAAGGTCTATCCAGATCACCTTGCACCATCCTGCCAGTCGCATGACATGTTGTGTCCCAAACCAAATACTGTATCCCCCCAAATTATTTCCTATCAGAAATCTATCTCATTTGTTCTTAAAACTATCGACATTTTCTGCTTCCACTGTTTCCCTGTGGACCTGTTCCACGTGTTTACTACTCGCTCACTGACGTAGTTTTTCTGCAGATTTGTTCTCAGTTTACCACCCTTCAATTGCAGGACTTAAACTTTGCCCAGGAGACTCGTTTTGTTTTAAAATGCTAAACAGCACAGAATTGTGAAAAATCCTTTTAAATCCAGTCTTAACTCGGATGAGACGTTAAACCTCACTCTTTCCCCATATGTGCCCTGTTCAGGTGGACGTTAAAGATCTCCTGCGGCGCTGTTGGGGAAAGAGATGGGAGTTTCTCTCTCCCGGTGTCCTGGTCGACAACCCCCCCACCCCCAGTTCATAGCTGTTTGTGAGATGTTCTGTGTGCAAAATAGCTGCTGCATTTGCCTACAAAATATGAGATGGGAGGTCACGACGGAGCCTGGGATCGGAGACGGGAATGTGGGAGGAAAGAGGGAGCGATCCCTGATTTCTCACCGGCTTCATGTCGGCCAGCCCCAGGGTAGCGATGGGGTCCTTGCTCTCTCTCTGAGGCTTTTGCCGTTGGAACGTACGCTGTGCCTTAACCCGGATCACCTGCGCGGAGAGAAAGGAACACGGTGAACAATTATACATAGTTGTATATGTACAGCACGGAAACAAGCCACTCCATGCTGGGGTTTATACTCCACACGAGTCTCCCCCACCCCACCACCCGCTCCTCCCTCCCTCCCTCCCTCCCACACTCTCTATTCCCCTCCATCATGTGAAGGTCCAGCTTCCTCTTGAAGATATCTACACTATCTGATTCAACGGCAGCGAGTTCCACACTCTCACTACCCTCAGTGTGAAGTTGTTCTCAGTCAGATTCCCCCAGTTGCTATCTTACATAAATATGCTGCCTGAAGTGATGGTTGAACCCACCTTAAATAACTAGACTGTTCACACTGGTTGAGTGGTTTCTCTTTGCTCAGAGCTCCCTGTGGTCCCTTTGTTAAGACTGTGTCAGCGTGAGGTGCTGTGCTGTGTGAGGCTCTATGTACGTTCATGGAGAGGAAGTTATTCTCACCTCATAGATGTAATCAATGATTTCCAGGACGGTGAGGATACTGGCTCCAATAAACAGCCCCATCTGCCCCCAATGTCACCTGTTGGGGGGGGGTGGGGAGGAAAAGAGGGCGAGCAGGAAGGGTGTAGGGGGAGAGAGGGTGTGGTGGGAAATTGTTAGAGGACGGGAAGAGAGGGTGGAGAATGGGGTAGGGGGAGGGGAGAGTGAGCCAAAGTGAAACCCAAGACACCGATTTCTTAACAATCAAACACAAAGCGCACCCCCCACACACCCCTTCCCCCCCCCGGCCGCAGTACACATCACCCGAGAGAGAGAGTTTCAGGTAAATCTTTGTCCTGTTTGATCTCAGTTCCCCCCTCCCCACGGGTAGTTGAGTCACTCACCCAGCAGCCCCTCCACACTGTAAGCTTCCTTCTGCTCAATAGTCTCATAGTTCAGGGCTTCGAAGAAGATGTCCAGGACCAGGTAATTCTCCCTGTGGGGGAGGAGTGGTGGCGAGAGGAGGGGGAGAGGGGAAGATGGGCCGTGGGAGAGTGGGTGTGGGGGAAGAGGGAGAGAGGGACAGGGGGAGAGGGGGAGAGGGGTGTGTGGCGGGGGAGAGGGGGTGGGGGTGTGGTGTGGGTGAAAGTGGATGGGGGAGAGGGGGTGTGGATCAGTGGTAAGTCGGTAACGCAGTGTCTACCTCGGCTCTTCAAGCAATAAAACATTTTTTTTTGCAGGTGGTGGGGTGGGGGGTGGCAGCTCGGTCTGACACACCCACGACTGTTTGTGTGTGGGACGCTGCCGTGCGCAATTGCCTGCTGTGTTTCGCCCACGACGTACGCAAGTCACTACACTTCCCAGTACGTTCTGTGAAGCGCGCACAGGGTAACTGACCTACCTGATGTAGTCTGTGGTGGTGTTGAACTTGTGAGCCAGAAACTTGGCAGAGCCTCGGCTGGGAATCCTCACCATGGACAGCTCCTTGTTGTAGCGCGTGGTGTGGCAGGGGGTCACGCACGGGCAGGTCTCGTTAGATTTCTTCACTAGATCGTCTGCCGAGAGAGAAAGAGAGCGCGAAAGAGAGAGAGAGAGGCAGGCAATTCATCACAGCCTCAGCCTGGGGGGACGGGGTTTGGGGGGGGGGGGGGGGGAGTTTCCCCCTTGGGAGAAATTCACATCACTCCCCACAACTCATTGTCCCGGAATTCAGACATCTTCAAACAGCAGCAAAGAAGCTCCCACCCCCTCCGCACACCCCCCACCCCTAACCTCCCCTCAACTCCGACCTCGCCTCAACCCAACCCCTCCCCACCCCCCCCCCGGTACAGACGAGAGCTCAGTTTAATGTCTCATCCAAAGGACGGCGTGTCCTGGAGTGTTAGCCTGGACTGTGAGCTCAGAGGCCCCACATGTCTGGGTTGGAGACGAGAATGCGAGTGACTGGGCTGAATGAGGCAACACACACACACACACACACACACACACTAGAGGAAATAAATACAGGTAATTAAATAAATACGTACCCAGTGTCTTATCAGCGCACTCCATATAGTCCTCTGGACTGCAGATTGATTCATTACCTTTAGCAGAAGAGAGAGAGATAGAGAGACCAAGAGGCCAATAGGGGGCTCGCTCCCCCACTTGAGCTCTCTAACCCCATTCCCTCTCTCTCTCTCTCTCTCTCTCCCTCCCCATCGTGTCTGTGCTGGGGCTCGCTCCCCACTGAAGCTCTCTACTCTAACCCCATTCCCTGCTCTCTCTCTCTCCCCATCGTGTTTGTGCTGGGGCTCGCTCCTCCACTGGAGCTCTCTACTCTAACCCCATTCCCTGCTCTCTCTCTCCCCCCATCGTGTCTGTGCTGGGGCTCGCTCCCCCACTGGAGCTCTCTACTCTAACCCCAACCCCTGCTCTCTCTCTCCATCGTGTCTGTTCTGGTGCTTGCTCCCCACACTGTGCTGGTGGTGAGGCAGTGCTGGTACCTGGCATGTGGACCATTCTGCAGCCACAAGCCTTCAACACGGCCTGTTTCTCACAGTTGAGCCGGCATGCCGTGATGCTGTAATTGACATAACCGGGAACGTTGCTGTTGGGAAGCTCTGATTTGCAGTTGCCCCACGGCTCAGGCAGGTAGGTCAGCTGTTGGCAAAGAGAGAGAGACCGAGTTACAACCAACCTGGCCTGGCCAGTAAAACTGGGAAAACAAGATCCTGAGCTTAGTCCTTCACCCCCCGATCTCTGACCCCCTGCTCCCCTGCCCACCCGCCCGGGCTTTGAGTCCAAGGTTTCCTGTCTCAGTCCCGGTTTAATATCTTACACCTCAACAGGTCCCTCTGTAACACACGTCTCTTCTCAAGGCTGAAGAGGGGAGAGTGGGAGGGAGGGAGGTAACTACCCGCTGTTCCTGGCAGGACACAAAGGTCTGGAAACCCGGCGGAACTCCGAAGCCAAGCTCATGGATGTACGGAGGCTCATCCTGACTGTGGATCTGAACACGGATTCCAGCCTCGAATGAGGTTTCATCTACAGAGAACAAGAGGGTGCGGGAGGGAGAAAGGGAGTGAGTGGGAGAGAGAGAATGAGCGGGGAGAGGAGGGAGAGGGGGAGGGAGTGAGAGGGACGGAAGGAGAGAAAAATTAAGGGAGAGAGATAAAGGACTTGTTTTGAAAGTCTACATTACGTTAACCATAAAAATTTACAAAACAAATGAACATTTATACGGCTGCTTATTTCTCATTGTTTAACAAGCCTGGCTTAGCCCCGGTGTGTGTGTGTGGGGGGGGGTGGGGGGCAGGGATTTTATTTTATGGGGTATTGTCTTGACGGCCAGGGATAGAGAAGAACTCCCTTCTCTTGTCCTGACAGCGTCGGAGGAGATATTTAACATCCGCCTGAACAGGGCACAGATGGGGAGAGTGAGGTTTAACATCTCATCCACAGGACGGCATCTCCGATAATACAGCGCTCTCGCTCTCTCTTCCCCCAGCGCTGCGCTGGAGCATCAGTCTGGATTGTCAGCTCAGAGCCCCCCGAATGGGGGTGAGGCAGGCTTGAACCCTGTTCTCCTGGCCCTGAGGTGTGAGCGCTGTGCGTGGCGGTGTTGTTCACAGTCACTGATCACCGCAGCATCGCCAGTCACTCTCACACCTACCAGTCTCTCGCCAGATGGGCAGATACTCCTCCTGCTGGATGTCCATCATGATCTCCAGCCCGTTGCCCATGCCCCCCTGCTTGGTTTTCCATGTCCGCTCTCTGCCTGAGTTGAACGTGTAGCACTTGCCGTACCTGGTGTACACCTGGCCATGGTGGGATGGGGGCGGGAGAAAGGTTAGAGGTTACAGAGAACAAATACACACAGGGTGGGGGCTGAGTCCACAAACACAAGCCTGAGGCACTGAGCAAAGAATCATGGGAGCCTTAATGTCCTCCTGCCCAACCACCCCATCTCCCCTCCACTCGGTGTCCGTACACTGGCTCTGGGAAGCCCTTCCCTCCATTACATGCTGATTATCTGATAACTGATGTTGTAGGAACAGCAGCCGGTCAGTCTGTCTGGGCTTGGCTGGCTGACTAGACTGAGCTAGGCTGTGCTGTGTTGGCGCTGGGGTGTGTTGGGTTAGGCTGGGGTTGGGACTGAGATGGATTGGGTTAATGCTGGGTTGGGCTGAGTTGGGTTGGGCTGTAGCTCCAGTGTGAGTGCTGTTGGCTGGGCCGGTCACTGAGCCCTGATCAATCACCCCCAGGAGACATTGATTACCTACCGGGAACGGCCTGGCACCTTCTCCAATAACACAGTGGCTATTAGATTATCTGGAATTACCAGATCGATTCAAATGTAGCTGCGACTAAGTACTTGTGTAACCCTGTGTTGTACTCCCACGTTGGGGGCTCTGAGCTCACAGTGCAGGCTGACCTTCCAGCCCAGCATCAGGCGGGGAGAGAGGCGCAGCATTGCCAAACACGCCATCCTTCAGATGAGACGTTAAACTGAGCTCCCGTCTGTGCCCTGTTCTCTCATGGCGCTGTCGGGAAAAGAGACGAGTTTCTCTCTCACCTGGTGTCTGGCCGACAACTCCTGGATCATGCGCTCAAGGCGGTTTGTAGAAACCTCAGTTTAACGCCTCATCAGAAGGGTGGCGTCTCTGACAATGCGGCACTCTCTCCCCCCTCCACTACACTGGAGCGTCAGCCTGGACTGTGAGCTCAGATGAAGGGCTTGAACCCACAACCTCCTGACCCGGAGTTGAGAGTGCGAGGATGAGCCGGGCTGAGGCTGAGTGACCACACACTGTGCTGTAAAGGTGATCAGCCCCCATTAGCCTGATTGACAGAGAGCCTGGAGCAAATACATCACATCACA